CTGGAGGTGGAGGGGAGGATGGTCGGTAGGACAGAGGGTCACATTGATGACTTGCTCATTAGTGGCAACGCCTCGGCCAAAGGCACCTATTGTAAAGGAGCGAAAGCACAGTAATCCCTGGTGTTGACATTGTCATGAACCATCACTTGCAGGAAATCAGCTTCACAAAAGAAGCCAACTAGAAATACATCAAGGATTCCATGACATCAATTGAAGGCAAGCTTGAACAGAAACCAGAAAGAGTGAAACCTTTTGTGACAGGTGCGGCAGAACACATCAAGCACATCCTTACTGTTTTAAAAAAAACTACAGGCTCTAAGGAAGCTCTGGTGGCCTAGTGGCAAGAAGCAGCACTGCAGTCACAAAGGTGCATGGTTCGAATCTACCAGATACTCCACTGGAGAAAGAGGGGAAATCTCCTTTGCCAGTCGGATCTGATTGGACAGTACACAACAAGAGGGGTGGGGGAAGCTACCAGTTCTTTATTGATATTGGTGGAAACCTGAATCCAGATGGCATGGCTGCTCTGCTGGACTTGTGAGGATGGTGGGAGTGGAAGGTCGGAGGAAGAGAATACCCTCCGCGAGGTAGATTGATACAGACACTGTAACAGTGGGCTCGAGTATATCAGAGATGGAGAGGATGGGGCGGCATAGGGCAAGGTTCAGATCTTTGTTCCTAAGGTCACCAGGAGTCCTGTTAACTGGACTGCTCCTACAACAGGTGAATAACACATGATTGGGCAAAGATACATGTTAATTAGTATATTACAGGGTGGTCTAGGATTGTGGCGAACAATGTTTTCTAGAAGCCTGTTAGTAAAATCGTGTGTTAAAGGGTCCCATTGTAAAGTTTAATAAGTCATAAGATATAAATGTAAAGATAGAAATCATACTTCAAGGCCCTCTGGCACAGCTAGCACATCCTGCATCTCCTTGGCTATAGGGGAGAAGGCAGTTTACAAATAGATGGGATCTCCTACATCTGCAAGCCTCCAAAGAGTTGTCTTTAGGGCATGCGATCAGGACAGCATCAAGGTTCGAGGAACTGCTGTTAGGAAAGACAGCCTTAGAAAAATCCAACGTGGATCCCAGACTCACGCCACGGCTTTAAAATAGAATTAAGGCTCTGCTTGTAGATCGCGTGTTCACATACACCAAGTGCCTGATGTTTTTGTTTTTGTGGGTTTGTTGTGTGTGTGTGTGTGTGTGGTTTTTTTTAGGTACAGGAAGGCATCAGAAAGGAAATAAAATGGCCCACATTCCTCTGCCTTCACATAAAAATAAAATACTCCATGCATGCTGCAGTTAGAAAATTTTTACATGACAAAAGGAAGGAAATAAAAAGGGGAGATATCTTTCCCCAAAGAATTCCACTGTTCAGGAAAAAAATGTGGTTTTGTCACCTTAGCTATTAGATAAGGATATAGTTAAGGATTAGGGAGCTCAGCTGGCCTAGTGGTAAGAAATTAGGCTGCAGTCCCGAAGACACACAGTTTGAATCCACCAGCTGCTTGTAGGAGAAGGTTTACAGCTTCTGAAAACCTGCTAGAGGGTCAGCTGAGTCTGTTCCAACTGATGGTACACACAAACTAGAACATGTGCCTTTTTATTTACTCAAAAGAGATCATATCGTGTAAATGGTTCTTTTTTCAGTTATTATTTTTCAAATTGGCACATCATGCACTACCTCATTCTATTGAAGGATTGCTTGGTATTCTAGTGGATTTTTTTCATTCATCTATTTCTCAAGTGCCAACCAATAAACAGTGCCAGGCACTTGTGGAAACTTGAGATTCAGCAGCAGAGGAAAGGAGTCAAGTCCTTGTTCGCATTTGAACTGACGTTTCTGTCCGTTCTAGAAATGAACAATAAATATACAGCTTAAAGAGTGAGAGTTACAAATGCAGTGCAGAAATCACAGCCTGTGTGAGGACAAGAGAGGGTCTGTGCAGAGACAATTAGAGCGACCTGGGATCCTTCCAGAGAGTGCAGGGAGGGAGTAAGCCAAGGGAAGATGAGGAAGGATATTCCCAGCAGGGAGGACAGCAAGGGCAGAAGCCCTGGGAGGAATCTGCCTAGCCCACTAAGCAAGGAAGAGAGCTTAGTGGTTCCAAAGATCCAGATCCGGCAAGGCATTAGTGCTCAAGGCTTTAGATTGTACTGCAAGTGAAACCACAGCTATCAGATGTGAGCAGAGGAGAGACAGTTTGACTTAAGCCTTAACAAAATCGCCTTGGAACCCAGTGTCTCGTAGAGATACCCCAGTCATCTATCTCACTGTTCATGACTTCTCACTGGCCCAAATCCTGCTACAGATGTTGCTAAAGCATCTCATCTGTATCTTGTGAGACCATATCTGCTGAGTGACTGTATGCATTTGCCAAGTTTTCTAGAAACAAAACCTAATTGTTCTGATTTCCAGTTGCCTCGTAAATGAAAGGTTACAATAATAACTCCCACTTCACAGTATTTTGGGATCATAAAAAAAATGTCAGTTTTGAATCGAACATAAACTCAGGCGTTTACACATGGTAGTTATGATTTAATTGGATTGGCTCAAAAGTGACCTCCTCCTTGGAGGGCCTTTATGTGGAGTTTCCTGGGGTCTCGCCTTTATTATGTCCCTGTGGCTTCCTTGCTCGGTCTGATTTTGGAGATAAAAGATTTCCTCCCTTTGTTTACATGGCTTATTTTATCAGGGACAACACAGACTTGGAGATTGCTTTTCTGCGGGAGGATGGGGGTGGGGTGGGGACTTGGATTTGGGGTACAGGTTCAAGACCCTCCTTGAATGTAGTGGATGTCTGCATACTCATTAATTAGCACCAATAAGTGGAAGATTTTAAAGGGGCTGCCAGATTGTGATGCTGGGTTGTGACATGCCTGTTAAACATGGAGACGCCCGGTTTTCTGGCAACACTTTGTTTTCAGGAATTGGAGCCTGCAAGGCGAACAAAGCAGCCCCCACAGGGGTGTGCTCTGAGGGGAAGGTTTGATAGCCTCTCAGGAAGTGACTTGTGAATTGTAGAGCTCAAGCTGTTTAGCCCATCTTGGTAAGAGTGAAAGCAGGTTTTTTAGGACAAAGCTGCCCCCTAGAACTTTCCATGCAAATGGGCATGGCCTGTCAGAGAGCTGTGTAACGCAGTGGCCTCTGGCTATTGAGAGCTTGAAATGTGGATAAGGCCATTGATGAATGGCATTTTTTAGTTAATTCTTTTTCATTAGGGTTTTTTTTGGCATCAATTTAAGAGTCAGTCTTTTAATTTTTTTTTACTGAGATTTTAATGAAAGTTTATAGAGAACTTGGGTTTCCATTTGTTCACTGTTGCACATTTTCTTCCCTGGCTCCCCTCCCCCAGTTCACTTTTTTTCCTTGGGGAAAAAAAATTCTTTCATTGTTATACAGTGTCATCGCCCCCCCCCCTCCAGTCCACATTACTACACAGCTCTTATTCTGGACTTATTCATGCAATAATACCTAATCATATATATCACATTCCTTTTATACAGTTCTCTCCCTCATCTGTTTCAATGCTGTGTATGTTATTTATCCCCTCTTGTATTAGTTTTCCTCCAACCCCGCAGTCAGTCCCATTTTATAACAGTGTAACTATGCAATATTTTTCTTTTTGTGATTGAGATATTTCACTCAGCATAATGTCCTCCAGGGTCAGACATTTGTATAATATTCCTTGCGTTCCTTATTTTTCAGTGCTGCATAGTATTCCATTGTGTGAATATACCATAGCTTCTCTATCCATCCGTTTGTTGATGGGCACTTGGGTTGTTTCCAACTCTTTGCTATTGTGAACAAAACAGCAATAAACATGAGTGTTCATATATCTGCTTGGGTGGCAGTTACGGTTTCTTTACGGTATATTTCCAGTAGTGGAATTGCTGGGTTAAATGGTATTTCTCTTTCCATCTTTTTTGAGAAAGCATCATACTGCCTTTCATAGTGGTTGCACCATTTTACACTCCCACCAACAGTGACTAAGGGTTCCAGTTTCTCCGCAACCTCACCAGGATTTATTGGTTGCTGCTCTGTTGAATTTTGCTATTCTTACTTGGGTGAGATGATATCTCATAGCTGTTTTGTAAAAAAAAAAAAAAAATTAAAGAGTCAGTCTTTCAGGGAGCTCTGGTGGCCTAGTGGCAAGAAGCTGAACTACAATCCTAGAGGTATACAGTTCAAATCCACCAGATGCTCTGCTGTTGAAGGAGCGGCAATCTCCTCCTGTACCAGTGAGATACGATTTGATGGTACAAACACAAAAAATAATAAAATAAAATTTTAAAAAAGAAAATTTTTTTAAAAGAGTCAATCTTTACCTCCTTTAAAGAAAATTACTGTTGGGAATACACCCAGCAAATTATGAACGAGCTCAACAATTTTTGCATATACCATTTCATGTTGGAATTGCACTAGCCTCCTCAGGTTCATGGTCCCACGTTGCACAGGGCAGTTCTGGACCCAGTCTGATTATGCTCCCCCGTCTTTACTCCCTTTACTGACTGCATATCAGGTACTCCCATTCCCAAGGCCATGATGTTTCCCCTCTTGTCTCTAACTTTTTGCACACTTTCTCAAGGTCCATGAAATAGGATTTTGTTCTCCAGCTGTTTCACATGTTCCCTTTCTCCCCAGCTGGTTTGAGATCTTCATGAAGCTAAACTGGGTCTTTGATATTTCTTGTCATCTGTGTCATGTATCTTATACCCATTAGGTTCTTGTTACGAATACCATATAATGTTGTTTTTGTATACCATCGAGTCGGAACCAAACCATAGCTCCAGTGGGTTTTCAGAGGCAGATAATTGCAGGAGAGATTGCTCATCCTTCTCCCACAGAGCAGCTGGTGAATTTGAACCAACTGCCTTAGGGATTGCAACGCAGCTTCTTACCACTAGGTTACCAGAGCTCCCTAATATAGTAAGTACTGTTAGATACTTATTGCTAAGTTGCCATCTTGAACCACATTTTCCTCTGCTTCCCAGGCGCCTTGAAGAAGAGTCTTACAGCGGATCAAGTCCGGGCTGACTTGACAACACTGGGTAGGTCTGGGTTGCTCATGGAGATGGGCCTCTGGGGCTCTTTATTATGTTAATGCTGCCTTCTCTTCTCTTACAGGCCTTAGTGAGGACAAAGCCACCCACTTTTCTGAAAAGGTATCATTCCTTTAATCCCAATTAATTGAGATCACTTGCTTCAGTTTTATGACATATTTTTTAAAGGGAAAATGTGTATAGGAAGAAATCATCAATCATGTGTCATTTCCCCATCTTAATCTGCGGCCCTTCGGCCTGTCTTTCATTGTTTTTGTTCAGACATTCCTCTAGGTCTTATAGTTCTGGTGTGTCCACTTGCCATACAGTGGTAACTTGTGGTTGCTCTGAAGCTCAACACTATGACACTGATGTGTCAAGTGCGTTAACGGTTGCCCTGGCAGACAGTGTTTGGTGGAGCTCCCCAATTAAAACAAGCTTGGAAGCAGGAGTGGCATCCACTTCTGTAATAGCTTGCCTCCGGAAACCCTATGAACCTGGAGAAAGGATGAAAGTCATGGGTGTTGAGGACTTTCCTTCATAGGGTCGCTATGAGTCGCCTATGACTTGACAGCACTTAACAACAACAACAAATTTCATACCTACAGCTTTCCCCCAGCACTGTTTGCTCCATCTCTTTTCTCCCACCTTCCTTGATTTGACCAGATATAAATGTTACCATTTTTGCTCTAATCTAGATTAAGTCATGGAATAAAAGGGTTTCTTCATCTTTCTGGCCTACCCCATCTCTTAGATATGTGCATATAAGCTGAGCTCTTGGCTCTGCGTTCTTCCCACTTTCTGTACAAATACCAAACAGTACTGTTTGAGATCAAAGAGAATTTATTTTTTCCCCATGTTCTGACTTGGGCTTTTTCTTTTCTTCCAGTGGAAGCAGAATTCTTTGACTCTTGCTCGATGGGCCATAGATCAGACTCTGATGGTTAACCAGCTCATAGATATGGAGTGGACGTTTGGAGGTAAGGTCACGAGGTGATGTAGAGTTGGGTCACACAGCCTTTTAGGGAGTGTGGATGGAGAATCCTCGTCCGTCTGTAGTCTGATCGGACACTGGCCTCAGCAGCGGCTTTTCTGGATCAGTGTCCACACCCAGCAACTGTCTCCATGATGGCTCTGGATGAGTTGACTCTCTGCAGACTTGACTCTTGCCGTCCTCATCCTCACCCCCACGTGGTTTCAGTCAGACACCAGGATGGCGGCCCTCAGAGTAAGCCTTCGACGAGCTCCCTCATTGTCTCCTTTGTGTCACAGTGTCATCCGGGAGCAGTGAATTGGAGAAAATGGGCAGTATTTTTTTACAAGTAAGTTTTCACTTCTTAATCCTTGAAAAATGCATAGGTTTTTTATTTTACTTGGTTAAAAATGTGTTAAATCTGTGTTGGATTCCTTTATGTACCCATTTAATTAGCTGTTCTTCAATATCTAAGAGGTGTCTTAGCTTGTAGACATGTGTTTGGGCATAAATGTACTTCCTGGCGTGTCCACTCTTAGAAGAGTGAGAACCTCGTTCTGTGGGTGAAAATTTTGATTGCGCCTCTGACAAAGGGATTGGAATTTTAGAAGGTGGGTGACTCAGTCAGCTTCCCGTGTAACGCCCAGATTAGAAGATCGGTGCTTTGATGTTTACTTAGGGAAGAAAATGTCCTTGCCCATTTGTTGTTTTCTCAATTTTTAAAATGTCTTTTTTTTTTTTTTTTTAAATCAGTTGAAGTTGGTGGTTAAAAAAGGAAACCAAACTGAAAATTTATATATAGGTGAGTCCAGATTCCCATTTGAGCCTTTTTTTTTTTTTTAAAAAAATTTTATTGTTTTTGTGTGAGTGTACCGTCAAATCAGATCTGACTGGTACAGGAGGAGATTGTCCCTCCTTCCCCGGCAGAACATCTGGTGGATTCGAACCACCAGCCTTTGGTATTGTAGTTGCAGCTCCTTACCACTAGGCCACCAGAGCTCCCCTGAGCCTTTTTACATTTTTCATGTTCTCTTTAATCAGTGAGCCTGTTAAATCCACCACAAATCATCTCTAGTAGGAAAAAAAGTCATAACTCAGCCATGGAGTAGCCACCGCTGTTCCTCTCATAAAAGAGAATATGAGGATCATTAAGAAGCTTTCAGTAGGCTAGAGACACCACAGCCAAGAGCCCTTTTGCAAAAAGAGGGGAAGACAGGAAGGAATGGCTGAGGCTGAAACTTCAGAAGCTCTTGCTGCAGAAGTTCCATTGAACGTCCTGAGTCGTACCTTTTTATCTCTTGTGCTGCAGAGATATGCCATTTAAGCCCTTTTAAAAAGGAGCTCGGGGCCTTCTATGTTCAAGGCACCCAGTTCTTTATCATGACTGACTACCTCATGTATCAAGCCTCCCCCCACCAAAAAAAAAAAAAGGTAAAGATTAACTCTTGGAGGATTCTACGGAGCTAGAAAATTTTATCTTAAATGCAATTTTTTTCTCTTCCCAGAATTAACATTGCCCCAGTTCTACAGTTTCCTGCATGAGATGGAGCGAGTCAGAGCCAGCATGGAGTGTTTTAGCTGATTGCTGTCCCCTGGCATTTCCACCTGGGACCCCTCCTTGCCCTGGGTAACTCCTCTGAGTGGCCCCCTCACTGTCAGGCCTGTCTGGTACTCATTTTGCTGTGCTCTCTTCCTGGGAGCCAGGTGCAAAGGTTCTTGAAAAACAACAGGATTAAGTACTTAAAGAGCCCTACACAATCACCGGGTAAACTCTTTGTTAAGGGACCCCACCTATCTCCCAGGAAGCTTTTTTAGATATTCCACCAGACTGGGGGAAGAAATGGATTGAGTCACTTCCTGTCAAAGCGCCAGAGTAAACAGATGGTCCCATCATTCACGATACAGGCAGACCACCTGTCCCACCGGAAGCTGGAACTCATCTGTCGCGGAGCAGGGGGCCAGCCATAGGAATGACCCCACGTGGAGAGCCCCAAGGATTTTTGCATACTCTATGTGGTGGTGGTGGTGGTACAGCACTAGTCAGTTTTTAACAGGGCATTATATATAAACAAGTGAGCCGTGATTGGTCTTCTCGTAAAAGAACTGGGACACCTAAAAATCAATATCTTAGTAATAATAAAAAGTACTGAGGCTAAACTCTGCTCCTCGTCCTGGTTTGACTGTGTCATGTTGCAGTAAGGCAGTCACTTTGAGGTTCTCTCAGCTTATTTAGGCTGAAGCTGACCTCTGTTAGTTAGATGGTGAATAAAAAGGGTTCTGAAGGAAAAGCTCTGCAGCCAGTTCCTTTGTGCATGAATGAGAGTCCTCTCCTTCTCATGGAGCTGATAACCTCTTCACAGTGACCTTCCTGAGGCGACCCTGACCGGACCTTCCCTTGAAATTAATTGTGGTCCAGAACTGGAATTTTTTTTTTTAATTTAGGTTGTTTATTTTTCATTTCAATGAACATCCACAGAGACTTTGGGATTCCACTCATTCATCGCTGCACCCTTCTCCCCGCACAAACCCCTCCCCCCCCACCCCATTTGCTCCTCTCCCTGACAAGCAAAAGAAAAACTCCCTCATTGGTACACAATCCCCCC